CTTCAGTCCTCGGCAATGCCATTTTTCCCTCCCCCAGAGCTCGTGGCCCATTGTTTGGCTGCTTGCACCCACCTTGGAGACGTTGACGGCGGCATTTCGGAGCCCATTGAGGGCGCGCGCCGGGCGCAGAGTCGACCGTGCCAGCATGATTGGCAAGCTGTACCGAAGCCGCAGGGGTGGGAGCCGCAATCACAGGATGAGGGCGTTGCGTATGGAGTCGATCTCGGGATCCAAAAGGGCTCAGCGGGAGAGGTGTGATATCTTCGAGAAAATCCATCGTTCCGAAATGGGCCGACGCTGATTGGCTCGGGTCACGTGCTCGTGGGATGTTCTCGTTGCTGCCAGGGAAGTGGGGCCCTCGATGATGCTCGTAGCACTTGGAATGGTGCACGTCAGCACTCGACTGCCCGGGTTACAGTGGTGTCTTACAGCGGCCCCTTTCAGCAGCACCAGCACCTAAAACCCGCTGCAGCCAGCCGGACTCAGGCCTTCGCCAGCACTGGACCTACCCAGTACTACAGCGCCTATCAATCAGCTCGCCCACCAAGACCTCAGCCTCGTCCTCTGCAGGTTGCCAGGCAAACCAACCACATGCCCGCCTCATGCCCCGCCCCCACCATTCAAAACAAACCCGTCAAATCATTTTCACCCTCAAAGCAGCGCCTCACCAAAAAATCCGTCCACACACAGGGCTCGCAGCCTCCCGATTCGCTTTCTCTTTCATCTTCTACTCTCTTTCCCGCCTCTCTTATAGCTACTTAGAACAACATCATACTATTTCGCTTCCGACTCACAAACACGCCACCACTCTTCCCGCCTGCAAAATGGCCGATTCCAAGGTCTTCTCCCTCGAGGGCAAGGGGCTCAAGCTCGACACCGCCCAGGACATCGAGCCTCACCTCGCCCCGCTGATCGCGATGGACGACGTCGAGGAGGTTCGCTTCCTGGGCAACACGCTGGGCGTCGGCGCTTGCGAGCGCCTTGGTGAAGTGCTGGCCACCAAGAAGACCCTTAAGGTGAGTTAGCGAATGCAGTGTCCCGACGGCTCGGTGGAACAAAGGAGTCTTGGAATATCGCATAGGGGGGCTGACAACCAAATCCAACTCTTCCAGTCCGCAAACTTCGCCGACCTCTTCACCGGCCGACTGCTCAACGAGATCCCCGCCGGCATCTCCGCCATCCTGACCTCCGTCCTCAACCACCCCAACCTCACCACCATCAACCTCAACGACAACGCCTTCGGCCTCAACACCCAGGCCCCGCTCGTCGCCTTCCTGTCCTCCCACGTGCCCCTGCAGCACCTCTACCTCAACAACAACGGCCTCGGCCCCCACGCCGGCATCCTCGTCGCCGATGCGCTCTCGGAACTTCACGCCAAGAAGGAGGCCGCCCGCAAGGAGGGCAAGCAGGTGCCCGACCTCGAGACCGTCATCTGCGGCCGGAATCGGCTCGAGAACGGCAGCATGGCCGCCTGGGCCAGGGCCTACAGCCTGCACAAGAACATCAAGGAGATCAAGATGGTGCAGAACGGCATCCGCCAGGAGGGCATCTCCCGCCTGCTCAGCGAGGGCCTCAACCACGCCAGCCAGCTCCGCATTCTCGACCTGCAGGACAACACCTTCACCATCATGGGCGCCCGCGCCCTCGCAAAGGTC